AAGTAAACCAAAGGTACAGCTAATCTCATCGGGGTTACAGCTCGGATAATCATCAGATCGGACTATCACGATCTGCATATAAAAAAATGAAGAAATAGCAATCGCTAAATTCGATTGATCTTATCTATCGAATTTTCTATTTAATGTCATTGTGTACTAATATAATCCACTTTACTACTTAATGTCTACATATGTCCTTGTCATTTTCTGTCTTTTGTTTTTCATATTATGTTCTTAAATCAAAGATTAATAGTTAGATATGTCAAATTGTTTAACACAGGCAAGAGGTAATGCGTGTTATAATTCTGCATGTTCAGCTGGAATAATTAACGTCCGTCACGATATTCCTGTTGGTATGCCTCTCGATCAGGAGAGAAAAAAGAGAGTAGATATTGACATTGCCGTAATCAAGGTCACTTCTCTTTGCACTCATGGCTTCCACATTCAATTTTTTTTTTGTTTTTTATTTCCACACATGTAAATTGAAGGGGACTAGTTAATCTAGTTCGTGTCCTCGGCCCAAAACTTCTTGTTCAAACCGAAAAAAAAAGAAAATAATTGTTACAGTAGGTTGGGGAAAATTTATTTAGGAAATGTTTTTTTGTAAAAATGGGTTTTGTTGAATACAGGATCGAGCTAACGGGGCTTGGTGGCTGCTCTTTAACACCACTTGTTGCACCCGGGAAGAAATTGGGTTCTGGCCAGCAAAGAGGTTCAAAGAGAGCTTTGGGACGTTTGTAGAATGGGGAGGTGAAGTGTTTAGCATTTCCCCTCCAAGTCCTCCGATGGGGAACGGCAAGTTTCCATCGGGAGACCCTCATGTGGACGCCTATATACGTCGGCTCTCGATAGTTGACGGAAACTATAAAATGGATGATGTTGTGGAGAACACGGAGAATTATTCGGACAACACTCGTGGCTATAAAGTGAGAGACGCAACGGAGACATGGTGGACTGAAACAGGTCATCTTGTCATTTACGGAGGCCCCGGAAAAATTTAGAGACCGCGCAATTGTCTACACTAGATTTGTACCAACGCGATATCATTTTAATATAATAAATTACTAGATTTTGACCCACGCTAAGCGTGGAAGTATAAATTTCAGTTTATTGTATAGTAATGATATATTGTTTTGAATCATATATACCAAAATATAATAGATAAATAATTATGTCCACTAAAAAAAAATATCCGATCGGTTTTCGAATCTTGAGTACATTAATATGATATGTCTTGTGCTTAAGTGTATACAAAAAATAAAAATAAAATGGAAGCATCAACTTATCATGTATGATAAAGAATGTAATCAAGTGATTTACATCTTATATTTACAACAACAAAAAAATATTTTTCAACACCTCTGTAAAATGTTGTTAAACCCAAATCTATCACTGATCAAAAACTACTAATTGAATCGTGTTGATTTTCCGGGTTATTGATTTGGCAAGTATATATTTTTGTCATTAATGCCTCGTATATATTAAAAAAATTAAAAATATGTAGAGATTTCCACCATGACAAATTGGAATGTTATAATTGGTTGATTTAATTAATGTGTTTCCTAAAACCTTCTTTGAATGACATTTAGGATCTTTACTTTTAGTGTATCCTCTATAGGATATACATTATTCAATATAAATATAGTAATTTGAGTTTAGAAGATAACTCCATTCAATCACAATAAATTCCACTAGTACGCTTACCAATTAAAGCAAACATAAGATGTTATAAGAATTTTTTATAAGTTTAAAATTCTTCTCATCCAACCTATCATGCTGATAGGACTAAACAATTTAGTATGGTTTCAAGTCCGATAACCTTGTCTACTAATATGGATAGTCTTTTTTTATAGAAAGCTATTCATTTCATATAGTAAAAAAGTATGAAAGTTTTATATTAGTCTCCTGCATATTTTTAGCTCTAAAACATTTGTTCATCTCATTTTATTCCTACATCTTTAAGACAAACATGTTCTGCATCCTTATCTATTGCTTTTTCACCTTCTCTTTGCATACATATAATAATTACAACTTTGTAGAAAAACTGTACATATTTTTCAGCAAATGTCTGTTTTTTAGTTTTTCACTATCTAATCATATTTTTTACTTTATAGTCCTCACTGTAATCACTTAATTATGTTGTTTCAAACATTCATCATCATTTGGTTTTTTTTTTTTAGAATTGTCTCATGTTATGTTTTCTATAATTTAATCATTTATTATTTTATGCAGAATTTTTATAATTTTTTCAATTTTATGAAATAAACATAAAATTTCATCTTTACTGTGTATTCATATATTTTTTGTACTTCAAAGGATGTATGATTTATCTAAAATTTTAATCAACTTTGAAGTTGGAA